TATTAAAGTAAAATAGATAATTAGAAAAAAAAAATGAAACACTTAAAAAGTATAGCCATAAATAATATTGGATGTAAGAAAATTATAAAATACATAAAAACATTATATTTTTATTCATAACAAATATGAACATAATCAATTTGATAAAATAATTTAAGTAAAAGATCCATTATAAATTACACATCTCATCTCATTTATTAATATATAAATGAAGATTATATTATTGTGTTGAAGCAATATGCACTTTTAATAATAGTGAAAATGTGAAATAATGAGAAAAGATAGTGTTAATAGTGAAAGAATAAGAAAAGGAAATGTCGAGATTCAAACCCTGGCCTGCATCCAAGCCACCCACGCGACCAACCAACTGGGCTAAGCCACATTCTATTGACATTTCTCTATTTTTTAATACTTATACTTAAACGTCTACTATATATACACATATACATACAAGGGTTATATAAGGGGTGGGGGTGGGGTGAGTGGGGGCAGCTGACCCCACTGCCCCCACTGTAGGTCCGCCCCTGACCCCGTGGTAGTAGTCGAGGACCCCAGGGTGGTAGACCCCTCCATGGTCTGTCCGGCCGCGTGCGTAGTCCGCTCGGCGTCGTGTGTGATCCGCTTCATATTTCTTCGCTCCAGGTCCGCTCCGTAATTATTCAATCACTTGTATAAACGTATAATTGAGAATATAAAATTAAGGGGAACAAAAATCAAAAGATAAAAACAAACTTGCAAACCCCCAACTTATTCTCAATATACGGATAGGATCGTCCAAAAATAAAATCTCTAGGTCATATATTTTGTTAAACCCGTCAAATGGCTAGTCGAAATAAAATTGGTTTAAAAGATTATTTTTCAAAAATTGACAAAGCTAAATGACTTGGGTATAGGTTTTGGCATCATCAAAAAGGGGGAAATTGTTAGGAATAAAGTGTAAAGTTTTGATGAGCCAAATGTATTTTAAAAATATTAGTATTCCCATTTTATTTTTATTTGAGTCCGTCTGGGTCCATATAAGCATGGTGCACCCATGCAATGAAAGTTACGTGAATTGTTAAAGTTGGGTTAAAGTACCTACGAGGTCCCTGTACTATAGCGTTTTGTTCAATTTAGTCCTTATACTTTTATTTTGTTCAATTTAGTCCCTGTACTTTCAAAAGTAGTGCAATTAAGGACAATAGTTAACGATGTTAATATTATCGTTAACTTAGGTTACGTGGCACTGATGATATTTATATTCCTACTCATATATTACTTTATAAATATTTAAAATCTATCATTTTTACCACCAATATATTAAATTAGTATGTCCAAAATAAATAATTACGACCATGTTCGTAATGAGATTTAGACAATTGTCCTTAATTTTACCACTTTTTAAAGAGAGGGACTAAATTGAACAGAATAAAGGTACAAGGACTAAATTGAACAAAACACTACAGTACAGGGACTTCATAGGTACTTTGAAGTCCTTCATGATTAAGCGGGATTATAGCTTAACTCTATTTTGGAGCATATAAGTCATCAAAGGATAAGCTAGTAGAGTTGGAAGAAGACTTAGTAGAAGAGTAAGCTAAATGATCTTATGTTCAAATTCCATCTTGAGAAAATATTTTTAAGCCTGTTACGAGGCAAAGTGATACATTTGGAAACACATCTTACACCAAAGGTATTACTAGCCGAGATGGAAAATGACTTGATGAGTTACCAGAGTACGTCATGTTGATGTTCCAAGTTTGTAACAATTGTGTAATGTGGAAGATGAGTCTTGCTTCCATACATTTGTAAGTTGTGCTTAGCCAAGGGCCGCTGGGAGCTATTTGACAAAACCATTTTCCATCACAGTGCATCTTTTATGGATTAGATTGACTTACAGTTTAACAACCTCCTATCTGTTGGAATGGCAAACTGTCAATCAATTCAGCCCTCAACAGTCACATGATCCTCCTCAAATTGAAATTAAAGCTGGACTAAACCTACAGAGGGGTGGCTTAAGCTTAATACTGATGCCGCTCTGGACTCAAATAGTAGGAGAACGGGAATGGGCCTTGTATTACGGGATGCCTATGGTCAGTTTGTGGCTGTGAAAGCTATTCACTGGGATGGCTTCAATCGTTATGCTGTGCATCCGTATGCACCATGCATGGTGCATACGGATGCCAAAACGACGTCGTTTTATTAAAAAACGCGCGTCTCCCCTTTAAAAAAAATTCAGGTTCGATTCCCAGCAACAACATTATATTGTTCATTCATTCTGGAATTTTAGTTCATAGATTATGGAATTATAGTTCATCGATTATGGAATTGTAGTTCATCGATTCTGAAATTTTAGTTTATAGATTATGGAATTTTAGTTCATTCATTCTGGAATTTTTAGTTCATAGATTAGATTATGGAATTATAGTTCATCGATTATGGAATTTTAGTTCATATGTTGTTGCTGGGAATCGAACCTGATTTTTTTTTTTAAGGGGAGACGCGCGTTTTATTAAAACAACGTCGTTTTTGCATCCGTATGCACCATGCATGGTACATACGGATGCACAGCATAATTTGCCGGGATGGCTTATGCTTACCTATGGAGGCAGAAGCAATTGGTGTAAGAGAAGCGCTGAAATGGATAAAAACTCTCCAGCTTGACAAGGTTCAGATCGAATCTGATTGCATCAAAGTTATCCAAGAAATTAACAATACTAGTTTATGTTCATTTGATTTGATTATCAATGACATTAGGGAAATAGCTAGAGACTTTACTAATCTCAGCTTTCATTTTGTTAAACGATCTGGGACTGTATGGACTTTGTTTCGGTTCTTTTTTTCTTGTATCGCTCATGCTCTAGAGCTCGACTATTATTAATATATTTTCACCTTTATTCCCAAAAAATAAAATTAACTCATATTTTTTTTACTAAACCCTATTAATAATGATAATAATCCCACTTTTTTCACTCTTATTTTCCAAAACAAATCTCAACCATTAATCTACCTAAATGAATGGATTAGATTGGTTATCCCACTATTTTCACCCTTATTTTCCAAAAAAAAAAATCTCAACCGTTAATCTATCTAGATGAATAGATTAGATTAACCATCACTATTTGCATGGGAACATGTTCTCAACTGCACCCTCCCCTATCATATAAGTGTCATAGGTCGAGAGTCAATTTAGATTTCGAGCTCGATGCAAATTCTAATAATATCTAAAAATTAATAAGTGTAAATAATAGTTATATCATTCATTTATGTACATTTTTTCAATAATATTTTTTACACATTATGCTGTAAGAGTTTACTATACAATATTTTGGTCAAAAATACTCCTATCATTATAACTTACGTTATCTTTTCGAACTATTGTTACCATTCACATGTATCTACCATATATACATTATATATTGGTGTACTATATAAGTTATTTCTTAAAATATAAATATCAAATTTATAAAAATAGTTTACATTATTATTATTATTATATAAATATCTAATATATATATATATATATATATATATATATATATATATATATATATATATATATTGGACATCTATTTTTGCACACCGTGCATAAAAATACTAGTTAAAAATACAAATGTGAAGAAAAATTGAATAAATATAAATACTGCAATAGCCAACAATTATTAATGATAAATTAAACTTTTAAAATGAAAATGCAATAAACTATATCAATAAGCTCCTCAAAGTAACTTTGACATTTTAAATTTATTAACATCAATAAAGCAAGTCAAAGAACTATTTACCAAAAACTCATTTTAATTGTTTGACTAGTGGGGAAGATAAGTGATATCCTCACCACTACCAACAATCTGCTTATAAAGAGGGTGGATGTGGATCCAATATGTGCCATGTGTGAAATCATGCAAGAAAACATTATGCATTCATTAGTATCGTGTGGCTATGCTACTTCCGTATGGGCGCAGGGCACTATCCAATCTCCCACTTCCTAATATTGTGACAAATATTTTCCATGAGTGGTTTAGTGCAATCTTAAATGTTCTAGAGACTAATGAAATTGCCTATGCAGCTGCGATTCTATATCATATTTGGAGAGCACGGAATGGTGCAGTATGGGATGCCTGTCTACCCCAACCCAGGAAACTGATTGTCGTGGCAACCGCAACGATTCATGCATGGCGTCGGGTACACTGTCCGGCCGACCAGAACGTTGCCTACAACGTTGCTGCGCCCGCCACTGCCGGATCTCCACTGCCGGAACTTGCTGCTGCTACGGTGGATCCACGGCCAATGAGATGCTATATAGATGTCGAATACATTCATGCCACAAATTCGACCACGGTGGGCGAAGTGTTGCTAAACGCCGACGGAGGGTACATTGCGGCGTATAGTGCCCCTCTTCCGAACTGCTTCTCCCCGCTCATGGCCGAGGCGTTTGCATGCAAAGAAACTTTATCATGACTACGGCAGCGTGGTGAACAGACCGTCCAGATTTACACAAATTGTCAGACGTTACAGTGCTATTTATCTAGGCTCCGCCCAGATCGTATATTAGTTATGCCATTGATGCCTGCAAAACTTGCATGACTTCATTTAATTTTTGCTCAGTTAATTTTGTTCCTAGATCGCAGAATTTATTAGCTCACACATTAACTTCTACAGCTACACAATTTTCTACGGCTATGTATTGGGACTCTATCCCAGACGCTATTTCAACTTATCTATAAATATAACTACATTGGTTGCTTTCAAAAAAAAAAAAAAAAAAAACAATAAGCTGAAATTGGTTAAACAAACCAAACTTTGACTGCTAAGCCATTTTTTTAAATACACCCATATTCACATTCCTAAGGTTACGAAATAACCTGAACCAAACACCTTACTATATATAACTGTTTCTTGCTAAAGACAATAGGCTAGAGCTCAACGGCTTAATCTCCGCAGTCAACAAGTTAAATATAAGTGGTTTTATAACTGTTTGTTGCTGTATTGAAAATGGATTTAAATTCAAAAATTTGTCCAACTTAACCTCACAAGTTATGGAATCAATACATCAAATTGACATGTAAGTGAACAACAAAGGCAATTTTCAGCAAAATGGACATTGGCTACAACATATCCACACATCACAAATGTTAGAAAAAGAGGCAAAGAAGCAAGCAAAGTTAATGTAATCATGTTGATACACATCAAAGTTATCTTTTCTTCCATTCTTTGTACCATAAAGGATTTTATCATCCGGAACAAATTACCTTTGTGCCTTCTGAACAAAACTAACAGGGAAAAGACAGCGCTGCTTCTTGTTCTGGTGATTGTAGCCACTTCTATCAAACAATTGTTCCTGACAACTGGAAGTGGATCTTTGCAAATGATCTTTACCACAATTTGATGTAGCCTTTTAAAATGCTCAATCAGTTAAGAATAGAGAACAAACATTAACAGACATCTTTTCCCATTTCATTTTGACAGACAGATGGTTATAGTTCAAATCCTCCAATGCACAGCGAGGGAAAGAATAATATGATGAAGTACAACAAAATTTCCATTTACCTGGCATGTTTTCCAAGAAATGCATGCCATTCACTTGTGGAGTACTGATCAACACTTGCAACCAAGGAAAGCATATGCCTAGCCAAATAAATCATCCGTATCATCATCGTCATTGCTAGACTTACTTATAGGCAAAGAAGCAGGAGATTCTGCATTTGGATCATTGGTTGAGGGGGCTTGATCATTAGTGGAAAAAGCCCAAGAGGAACCGACTTTACCAGAAACTGATTCTCCATAAATATCGTCATATATTCCACCTTTTGGAGGATTTTTAACCTTGTCCAATACTTGTTTAAGTTTTTCAGTGACACCTGTTTGTGAAACAGTGGAATCCTTCGCAGGGGACTGCTCCCTCCCTTTGGGAATAACAGTAATTTGTACAAGGGATTCATACTTTCCAACTAGACTTCCTTCTATCACTCCAACCGGCCCTGGTTCTGTTTCCACATCTGCTCCATCTGAGATTCCAACTACTTCAACCAGATCTCCTCCAACCTGATCTCTAAATGCCACTCTAGTTCTCCTAACTCTCTTAGCAGCTCTTTCAGAGATGGAATTGTCATCTGCCCCCATACTTGACTTTGAAAATTTAGACCCTGTACCTGGTTTCGTAAGCCCAAAACGATTTAGATATGTGTTATAAGCCAAAACAGCTTCCTCATCTGTTGGATCGGGAGGTGGGGGCAGATTAATTTCTGCAGGTTGTGGTGGAGGAAAGAGAGCGGCATTGTTCTTTCTCAGGATATAGGTCCTTGTTGATGCAGCAAACTTCAAAGACTGTCCAGCCTCAAGTTCCACAGGGGAATCCTTCGTCAGTCTCTCATTTGCAACAAATGTGCCATGTGCAGATCCCAGATCAATTACATATATGCTGAAGAAGAAAAGATTAACTAGATCAACCTACATGAATTTGGCCCATGGACAGAAGAAACTTTTTTTTTTATATCCAAGTAAAAATTAGACAAGAACAAAATGATAAGATCTGTACAAGTGAATAAAGGAATTTCCTTGTCAAGAGAAATATTAATGGGCAGTAACATTCAATTCTGACCAATACTTATGTTGATACAGGCTAAATTACACAAGCACAAAATGATAAGATCTTGTACAAGTGAAAAAGGAATTTCCTTGTCAAGAGAAATTTTAATGGGCAGTAGCATTCAATTCTTACCAATACTAATGTTGATTATCAATATTACTAAAATTTAGCCTGTAATCATTCTCTACACTTCATGTATTTTTATTTTTCATAATATACATGTATAAATACATCCAGATTATTGAAAGAATATTTTCTTAGTTTACTCTTTCTTTTCAATGCCAAGTCTCTTTCAACCAAATATATATATATATATATATATATATATATATATATATATATATATATACTTCTTAAAATATGCACATGTAGGAAAATTTGACCCTAGAGAGTTATAGTTTTTTTTTTTAGAAATTTATATCTCATATGTGGCAATGGCTTTTGATTTATGGGAGTTGATCATCCCCATTTCTTCCAACTAGACTCCTGCAGCCCATAGGCAAGTTGCTAACCACAAATCCAGTGTCAAAACATGAAATGGTAAAACTCATGGAGTTGTTTAACAACCAAAATGAATGGAGACCATTACAGTCTCACCTTATTAACATGTACAGAACAGCCCCATTATGGCTCATTTGTACCTATGCAAGAGGTAGTTTGGTGCATGGTGGCAAACAGTCCAACCAGTATATCAAAAACACCGAAATGGGGACCAAAGGTACAACTTTAGACATATTTTGATTTTATACCATCAACTACTCTTCTTTGCTTCAGACCTGTTGAATTTTTTTTGGGTGGCCTAGCTTAATCCAAACCAAGGACTATTTGAGCCTAGAAGAAAAGAATATGGAGCAGACCCAAAACCTTAATTTATGAGTTATAAACAATTATTCTTGGTAAGTTAAGCATCAAACATATAGAGAAGGCTATGTATTAGAGCTATGGTATAATAACTTAAAAGAATAACAAACAATTAGCAGCAATGGATGAAGATCCCACACCTTCCGTTTTTGTGTGGAACAACAGCAGCATGTTGGCGTGAGACAGACTGATGATCAAGAACAAAATCACAAGCATGAAACTGGCGTCCAAAGATGTGCCTACGCTTATCCAAATTAATGCGATCAAGTACTTCACCATCCTTGATGACTTCAAGATAATAAACCCCTGGTCGGGGCTCAATAGCCCAATCAGGTGGCTGCCATGTTGATTGGCCTCCCCCAACTTGAGTCACTTGTTGAGTTGGCACCACAGGAAGCACATTTGTCTCCACTGGTTTCTGGGAAGAGGGATGTAGATTTGTGTACTGAGTTTGCTGGTATGATATTTGGGATGTAGGATGGGTCGTCAAAGGTTGAATGGCTGCTTTTGTAGCTGGCTGTATGTTTGTCTTAGAAGCTGAATTTGCACCTACTGAGAATGGTTCTAAAGTTTGAGCTTTCTTAAAGCGATCAAGACCTGTTCTTCCATACATTATTTTGGTTGTCTTTTTGGAACAAATTCTGCAGGCTGCCCAGGACGTTAGGAACTTGACGCAATGCCTCCTCTTTATTGCATTTACATCATCAGCACACAAACAAAACTATTGTGTTTTCCAAAAAATAACACCCTGCCATCCATGACTCATGTTTTATCCATACTCTCACTTTGATGAATAAATATTACACTAAGTTATTATTATTATTATTACTTGTAATGAAGTTAAACAAGAAACTGTAGCAAGAAAAAATGAGAAACAAAAAAAAAAAAAAAAAACTGACTGCATATAAAATTCTTTTTTTTATTACTTAAAAGCATGTCAAAGAAATTTTATAGTATTTCTAAAAATTCTCAATCAAGACAGTCTACAGAAGCTTAATACAGAGTACAAAGTACAATTTGTTAAATGCTAAAACAACTTCTTTAACAAAACAAGCAATTTTATTCCTCAGAGCAGGTTGATACACAAGTATGTATGCAATAACCTAACTGTTCGCTAGAGTGAAATGTAGAGGCCTAACAGGTAATAACTATGCAATAATCTACTCTTAGCTAGTACTTGGGGTTCACAAAATAGTACTAAATTGAGATGCTGAGTTACGACGGTGGCAACATTCAAGCTGAAGAAATAAATCCGAGGGATAAATTTCAATGCTAAAACTGCAGCAAAACAAGGCACATTGATTTAGAACATTTATGGAGATCATCTTAGCAAATTGTTCACAATATATAAAATTATAAGGAAAAACATAATTCGTGGAAACAGAAACTGAAACAACGAGAAGCAATCTAATCTCAGGAGAAAAAAAACATTGGATTTTGGTCATACAAGTTCCGGTGAATTGACTGGGAAATTGTGTAAAGAGGGAAAAGGGTTACCCTTTTGAACGAAGATTGAAGCTCTTTTCTCCTTATTTCGGGTTCTATTCTCTGATTAGGGTTTATCTGCAGTTGAAGCTCGTATGCAAATCGATTGTATTGAATAGAAAGAGACGAGGGGTAAAGAGAGAGAGGTTGTACCATTGTGCCATTGTGTAGGTAATATGAATGACCGACCAAGTACATGTATGACACATTTTTTTACATTCACAAAATATTCATTTCTCCCTTTAAAATTTCTTTTAACGAATAATACAAACTTTAATTAAATAATAATTGTAATAATAATAATAATAATAATAATCTACTATATATATATATATATATATATATATATATATATATATATATATATATATATATATATATATATATAGGGAAGGGTTCAGGTGCGGGTATAGCTTCCCGTGCGGTTGTGCGTTAAATCTGAGCAGTTGATCAAATTTAGATCAACGGCTCAAATCAATGAAAATTAAAAAAAAAAAAAAATCAATGAAAATTTTAAAAAAAAAAAAGAAACGTGCCTGAAACAAAGAAGTATAAGCTAAGGTGCACCTTAAGTGTTAGATCTGAATCACAAACTCACGCACTTTAAGTACAAAACCCACACACATTAAGCACAACCTCACCCACATTAAGCACAAAACCCACGCACTTTAAATATTAACTCACAGACTTTAAGTTTTAACAATTACTGATATTAAGTACAAAACTCACGCACATTAAATACAAAACCCACGCACATTAAGCACAAGCATCACGCACATTAAGCACAAAACTCACGCACTTTAAGTATTCACTCACAGACTTTAAGTTTTAACAACTATTCACGTTAAGCACATCCCCACGCACATTAAGCACAAACCTCACGCACATTAAGCACAAAACACACGCACATTAAGCACAAAACTCACGCACATTAATCACATATCTGCTCACCTTAATTCTGACCTAAATGCAAAAATTACAAAATTTCCACCGCTTTTTTTTTTTAAAAACTTTGATAATCCTGGACGTTGATTAAAGCGAGATGAATGACTCAGATTAAACCGCACAACCGCACCTGAAACCCTCACTCGCACGAGAACCTAAATCTATATATATATATATATATATATATATATATATATATATATATATATATATATATATATACATTTTACTTGCACTTCAATGCTCAATTATTTACGAAAATGCCATCGCACTTTTTTTAAAAATCAGTGTTTTTCATCCATTAGATCTGGGTATGTGGACAGATAGAATCCATTCCTATTTCGCGCCTGGGCGAAGCATTCGGACCTGAGTGCAATTCTATATATATATATATATATATATATATATATATATATATATATATATATATATATATATATATATATATATATATATATATATATATATATATATATATATATATATATTAATATTAATATCTACAAAATCTACAAATATAATAAATGTCAATAATGTTAGGTATTTAACTGGAACCAAAAAAATGTTGGTGTAATTGTTTCTTAAAAGAGTAAATACCCAAAATGGTCCCTCAACTATAGCTAAATTCACAAATTGGTCATCGACTTTCAATTTTAACCAATTAAGTCCTTAACTTTGCAATATGTAATATTGGTATGAGGATATATATGTAAAATTGCAAAGTTAAGGATTTAATTGGTTAAAATTAAAAGTCGATGACTAATTTGTGAATTTAGCTATAGTTGAAGGACCATTTTGGGTATTTACTCTTCTTAAAATGAATGGTTCATATTATTTTGATTTTAGTTTTTTTTAGTGATTTTTTTTATTTACCTTCTATTATATTGTTTTCTTTCCTTAAATAACCCTAAATTTCATTAGTATAAACTTCAGTAACAAAATATTTCGTTAACTATTTATTATTCTTAACTCACTCATTAATTTCTATAAGAAAGGTCTTGGGTTCGAACTCCATCTCAATTATAGTTGGCATACTTGTTAAACATATACTACAAATATGTTAAAATGTATTGACAAGCACCTTGTGCTCAATGACATGTAGTGACTTCTCCCATGTAGGGGGGTCATGAGATCGAGTCTCAGTGGAATGTAATAGAGTCAGTAGCATTCAAAAAATATTAAAGATAATAATATAAAGTTAGAAACTTTAAAAATCATTTGATTTTCTCGCTTTAAAGAAAAACAAAAACAAAACAAATTTAGGTTAAGTTTTTAATCTTTAATTAATCTTCTTTTGATTATTTAGAACAAAACTTAATATTTCAATTATGCTTTTGCATTATTGCAATGATTTAGGTAATTATAGTATTAATATTTTTTGTATGTATTTTTATAATGGTACAATCAGAGACGCAGCTAGAAAATTTTGTGAGTGGGGGCAAAGTTTAAATAATGTTAGAAATGTCAATTACAAAATATCAAACAGTCATAATAAGGTTAAAATACAAAATATATTATAACTTACAACAGAATGTTTTTCATATATTACACGATAGTTAGAGTCGGAGCCAAAAATATATTTGAGTGGGGTGAAAATATGAAAATATTTATGACAATGCAACATATGAAACATAATAAATTAGATAAAATAATTTGAATAATACTATAATCATAAATACGTTTTAATTTAATTTTTTTTAGTTAGATCAACTTTAAGTTTTTCTAAAGAGAAAATTTCAATTTTGGTCATATGACTATAGGGTTTTGTTAATTTCAGCACCTAACTTTCAAAAGTGTCAATTTAGTACCTTGAGTATGTACTTTTTGTCAACTTTGGTTACTCTGGTCAAATTCCCGGCCAAATTTCGCTGAAAAATTTTTATAGTTGAAATAATTAGGGTATTTTAGTTATTTCACGTTTCTTTTCTTCTTCTCCGACAAGTCTTACACACATCAGCGAACACGCCACCAACTTTAGTTAACACACAAACAGACAAATTTCAAAAGTCTAATAAATTTGCAAAGGGCAAATCATTTATGTTCATCCAAACCGAATCCGTGAAATTATTCATTTATCGGAAGTGGATGAACGGAAAGAAAGAGCAAAATGTGGTGTGGAGCTCTAGATTTGGTGTTCCATTGCCGGAAAAGATGATCTCGCCGGAGAAGAAGAAAAGAGGAGTGAAATGACTATAATACCCTCATTATTTTACTTATTAATATTTTTCGGTAAAATTTGGCTGGCAATTTGGTCGGAGTGACCAAAATTGACAAAAATTACATACTCAAGGTACTAAATTGATATTTTTAAAAGTTAGGTGCTAAAATTAACAAAGCCCATATAGTCATATGATCAAAATTGAAATTTTCTCTTTTCTAAATTAATTCGAATACAATTAAGTATAATATAAACTTGTATATTACATTAATTAAATGATTCATAAAAGTAGACTAAAAGAATATTTAATTTGTTAATTAAATGATTTATAAAAGTAGACTAAAAAATATTTATCTTGAGAAAGAATGAAAGAGATAAAATAAACAACCTAGTGAAGATAAGAAAAATGATGTTAATGAGATTTGAACCTATGACCATAAAGTTCAACCAACTAAGCTACTCAACCTATTAAACTTCTAAACATAAATATTTATTTTATATAACATCTAATGTTATATATCGCTGCCTCCACACTAGCTCCGTCTCTGGGTACAATTATGTTGGAAAAATAGCATTAAAATAACATTTTAAGTGGTTATTTTGTGGTACAATTATCAGTGGGGTCCACTTCCGAAATGGGTCTGGTCAAAGTGGATTCGGGTTCTTCGTAGTGAGACGAAGAGATTGATATATTGTACGCTCAAAACAGATAATGGGTGAATGAGATATTGATTCTCAATGGGTTGTGCTAGGTCGGATATTGCCTTTGCGATTAACGAACTCGGTAGACGTACGAATAACCCTAATGATACACACTAGAAGACAATAGTGAAAGTTATGAGATACTTAAGGTATACTCATGACTTTGGACTGCACTACGTAGGATATCTAGTTGTATTTGGAAAGTATAGCACGTTAAAAAGATATCAAAGGATGCTAAGTCCATTAAAGGCTACGTGTTTACGTAGGCCATTGCAGTTGGTTGTATGGAAATTTTCGAAATGATTTGTGATAGTTAAGATCCATGACGGGATCTAAGCTGAGAGCCTTAGACTCATGTCGCGAGTGAATAGGCTGAATGGCTATGCCATTTTTCGGGAATGTTCCTAGAGATGAACTCGTACCTCCAATTTTGTGTGCATTGCGATAGTCAAGCGAAAATTGGTTAAATACAGAGTTAGATGTGGAATGGTAAGTCTAGACTTATAAGTCGTAGACATCATACCATTAAACAATTTCTCACAACATGGGTTATCTCTATTGACTACATGATGTCAAAAGATAATGTAGCGGTCGCTAACTCGCCTTAGCACTTGGGTTTAGAATTTCCCTTAAGTGTTACATAACACCCCTATGTAGATGGTTTCAGCTTCCGCATTTGAATATTTCAACATATCTATTCCTTTATTTCCTTATATCTTTGTTTTAGAATTTGGGGGTGTTACAGTACTAAGCATGTGGAGATCGATTATCATTTCATTCGCGACAAAGTGGCTGTAGGTGAGATATTGGTAAATTTTATTTCGACGATGGACCAACTAGCTAATATCTTCACGAAAGCTCTTCCGACACTGCGCGGTTCTCCTTTCTTCATGACAAGCTACATGTTGTTAGCTCACCCTCTGCTTGAGGAGGAGTTTTAGGACTATCAGTCCTAGTTCTGTTGTAACTCTTTTTTGTGTATATAATTGTTATATCTTGTGACTTCTGTAATCGATCTAAAAACAATAGTTCTCATCTTGAAAATTCACTCCAGAACTTAACAATGACTTGTTTCCAACCTATTTTTACATACCTAAAATGCCCAATTACCAACTATACTTTTGATGTACCAAACAATTAGAGTTCTAAATTATTGATCATATAATTATGAAATATAATGTTAAAAGAATGTGCAAAGCACAAACAATATGTGACATACTTGGGCATTGAGTTATCTCAGGCAAATTATGCCCTGGACCCGTGTCCACAGTGAATTGTGGACACGGGCCCAAAACGACGTCGTTTTTCAAAAAAAAAACGCGTCATTTAGTTAAAAAAAAAAAAAAAAATTTCGCGCGCGTTTTCCGTTAACGGCGTTATTTTTTTT